CTTTCTTTTTTTTTTTTTGATGACATGGGGTCTCACTCTATCACCCAGGCTGGAGTGCAGTGATGCAATCAGGGCTCACTGCAGCCTTGACCTTCCAGGCTCCGGCAGTCCTCCCGCCTTAACCTTCGGAGTAGCTGGGACCACAGGTATGCACTACCAGGCCCAGCTACTTTTTTTAATGATGTGTAGAGATGAGATCTCGGTGTGTTGCCCAGGCTATCTTTCCTCCTTTCTAAGCCCTCTGACATTTGGTCCTCACCATGCTCCTGTGATACTGGCTGGGCAGGGTTATTCCAATTGTTTTCACATGGCTCACTTAATGGCATTTCACATTCTTCATAACACCTGGCAAGGGGGAGGAGAAAAATAGGACTGGCTAAGAAATTGAGAGAAGTAGAAGGGTTTGGAAACTAGAAGTGACACGCCCCTATCTTTATCTCTGGTCATAAAGTCTCTCCTAAGCCCTTTACTTCTCGTTTACCACCAGCTGCCCATCTCTGCATGCTGTACCTTGGGGTTAATGTTTCAAAAAGTAAACTTATCTTTCCTGCCTTCGTATGTATTTGGCAGTAAGAAACAAAATTCCTCTCACAGTAAAGACAATGGGAGTTTATTGTAAGCAAAGCATTTCCCAGCATCTAAGGGCAGAACAAGTAAGTTCCCGAGCATGAAGAAACAGGTGCTGGAAAGCCAGGCAGAGAAGTGGTCCCTTTCTTTCTCACAGGTCGTCTGTCTCCATTCTGCTTCCCTGTCTAGTCGGCCTCATTTCCTTGCTTCTCCCTATGAGGACAGATTTATCATACTACTTCTGGCTGTTCTGCTTCCCTCAAACTGCCTGGCATACGACTGCCTTGCCTTAGTACCAACTCCAAAGGAAATTCTCCCTATAAACAGCTCAGGTCCTCCCAGCCAACTGACTCTGTCTTTCAGTGTTGCTTTGTTCATGGGCCCAGCTTGAATCAAGTGTCCTCTCCTGGGCAATCGGCTGTGTGGGAGGAGTGGCCCATAAAGGCACGGTGAAGTACCTATTTTAAATATTTCCCCTATGGCCCTACCATTTATCCAGGGGTGTGGATTGAGAGGGGGCAGAAGATTCTCTCCCCTCCAATGTCCTATCTCAGATGGTGGCTCCACCGTCCAACCCTGTGAGCCAGATTGTTGGAGCCACTCTTGGTCCCTTTCTCCTGCCCCTCTGCCTAGGGCACTCTTCAGTTGACAGTTGTTGATTAAGGGCCTACTGTATGATTTTTGTGTCGTGGTGTGTAGTTCCCTTCCTCTGCTCAACATCCTTCTACAGAAAGCCTCTGGTGACATTCCAGGCCAGGCACGGAGCCCTTCCTCTGTGTATAGTACCATCTACTTATCTCATGCTTGACTTGTAAACTAGCTCATGAAATTGATCCCTTTAAAGTTTGTATTCTCTCATTAGACTATAAGTGCTTCAAGGACAATGACCATTTTTTTGGCTATTGTAAACCTGGCCTTTAGCTTGGCTGCTTGCACATAGAGGCTCAATAGGAGCTTTAAAATGGAACTTGGGGCCGGGCATGGTGGCTCATGCTTATAATCCCAGCACTTTAGGAGGCTGAGGCGGGTGGATCACCTGAGGTCAGGAGTTTGAGAGCAGTCTGGCCAACATGGTAAAACCCCGTCTCTACTAAAAATACAAAAATTAGCCTGGCATGGTGTCGTGCACCTGTAATCCCAGCTACTCAAGAGGCTGAGGCAGTAGAATCACCTGAATCCAGGAGGCAGAGGTTACAGTGAGCTGAGATCATGCCATTGCACTCCAGCCTAGGTGACATAGTGAGACTCTGTCCAAATAAAATAAAATAAAATAAAATAAAATAAAATAAAATAAAATAAATCTTGGGATGTGTGAGCCAATGAAAGACTGAATACACTTTCATAGGAAGGGATAAATATTTGAATAACATCAATTTTTTTAGATATTTTAATACAATCCATATGTTAATTTTTTTTTTTTTTTAACAGAACCAAACTCCAGGGGTCTATAAGCCATTCATCCATAACAGGCTAGAAATCCGAAGGTGTTTGACCACAGGGCTTTCTTGAAGCCAGCCTTTTTCAAGAGGTAGAGAGGGATGGGGAATAAGTGCCAGCTTTTGGAGTCTCACATATTGGGTTCAAATCTTGCCTCCTCCATTTGCCCACCAAATGGTTTCTGAACCATGTCTCCTGAACCTCAATATGTAGTCCTATGAGGTCCCAATGATAGAACGTATTAAAGCACCTGGCAGCTGTTACCACACCTCGCAAGCTGGCAGTTACCATTCTTGTGGGTTTTTTTTTCCTGTTTTCCCTGAAGTGAACATATCCATTCCATCCAGATTGTTTGCTGACCAAAAAAAAAAAAAAAAAAAAAAAGCCTGGAAATTCACCTGACTCTAGCTCTTGGAATGGCTCTAACAGTAGTGAAAATGAGGCAGTAAAGACAACGGGAGTTTATTGTAAGCAAAGCATTTCCCAGCATCTAAGGGCAGAACAAGTAAGTTCCCGAGCATGAAGAAACAGGTGCTGGATGGTGCCAATGGAAACTGAATACACTTTCCATAAGGAGGATAAATATTGGAATAACATCTCAATTTTTTTAGATAGATTTTAATACAATCCATAGTTAAAATTTTTTTTTTTTTAACAGAACCAAACTCCAGGGTCTATAAGCCATTCATCCATAACAGCTAGAAATCCGAAGGTGTTTGACCACAGGCTTTCTTGAAGCCAGCCTTTTTCAAGAGTAGAGAGGATGGAATAAGTGCCAGCTTTTGGAGTCTCACATATTGGGTTCAAATCTTGCCTCCTCCATTTGCCCACCAAATGGTTTCTGAACCATGTCTCCTGACCTCAATATGTAGTCTTATGAGGTCCCAATGATAGAACGTGATTAAAGCACCTGGCAGCTTGTTACCACACCCGTCGCAAGCTGGCAGTTACCCATTCG